GCTTTTCAAGCCTAATACCTATTCATTTGTGCGGTCTACAGTGATAGAAGCTAGCATTTCTTGACGTATTATGCTGGATGGTGTTAATGTCAATGATCGAAACTTCCTTTTCTGCCATTCTCTTGGCGAGTAGTTATTACCACGCGCTGTGCTATGCTTTACCTCCCTTCAACTTTGCTTTTCTAATATTGGCTAGTCGGACTGTCCGCAATGAAAAAGCATATGAACCCTCACAGAACCCTCGAAAGCAACGTTCCTAAGAAAGTTTTTTTTTTCATCGAAGTTTTTAAACTTGTAGTCCAGAGCTCCTTCTAGTGTTCAAAATGACTGATATTGAGGTTGAAACGCCTTTAGAGAATTCGATACGCTCTTTCTGTGAGTGCTAATCGTTCATCTACTACAGAACATGCTCGAAAATGGAACACTGATGAGAACTGAGGAGAATGTTGCAGTGATGTGCGCTATGTTGCATTCCTTATTGGTAGACCAACAAGACCAACCTCCCAATGCATCGGTTGGTTGCCCTTATCAGTTCTGCTTTTGTTGCTTCAAATTCTTCTTGATATTCCTACTCCAATTAAGAAACATTCCAGGAAACTGAAGACTTCGAGGATGAGCAGCATTTAGTAGCTCGATTTGTGCATCTTATTCAGGCTGATACTCCCGACGAGCAGTTTTTGGTTCGTGGATATAGTTTTTACTTATTTTGCAGGATTTGTTTATTTACATAACTATTGTACGGCAGTTATTTACTAAGAACGTGAAGTGATTCTCTCTGTCGCCTGCAAATTGTATTATGTTTCAGTTACTTAATAATGCAAGGAAGATTTTGGGCGCTGGAGGGAAGGCCCGAATCAAGTACACCTTGACTCCAATTATTTTCGAGCTTTATAAGCTCATATTGCGATTCGTTGATCTCAAAGATGAGGTATGGCATCACTTACTGTTCTAGCTTCGTTTAAGTTAATTGTTAAATGTTTATAGGAGAATTGGGAGGCAAAAATGCGGAAGATGTTCATGTGTGCGATGGGAACAATTGGTGCGTTGATCACTACAGCGGAAATGTCAGATCTTCCGCTAAAGTTATATTTGGAGGTATGTTTTGTCTATAGTCTAATCGGCAGATTTCACCTTTCCACGTCGTTTATGATACCTGCTAACTGGTAAGAGGGTTCCCTTCTGATGCCGATTTTTTTATCTTCACCATTAACCCTATGAATACCGTCATCCGTTCGCTTTGGTTACCCTGCGATGCCACTACATATGAGGCGGTGTATACGCCTCTGTGGCTCTTGTAATGGTCGCCACATCGAAGGTATCTTCATGATCAAGCTCCTCTAAGATGACGCAATTAGGGTACCACTTTGCAGATACGTGGATGGAGTACGAGGTGGAGGGAAAATGTGTAGATGCCGAATTTCTGAAGAATCCTGTCTTGAAAAGCATGAAATCTACCATTTAGGGTGCTATGGTTGCTGATAAAGTGCCATTGCCTGATGCATCTTCTGTTGTCTACGAGTTCATTTCGAAGGTATGAATCGGTTTTGTTTCTAGCAGCTTGGTAGCCTCCAGAAGA